GGGGGGGGGGGGCAGCAGCCACACAAAGGGTAAATCTTTAGTGTCCATCATGCAACAGAACCACCAACACTCAACTTATAGAAGCAGGATGTATAAACACYTCTCATCTTTTTGTGGGAAAACCCCACAATGCTTTCAATGGGAGTCATGATTTTACGGGAAATTGCATCAGTTAGGGCATCATTTGTCACCTGTGATAGCTAAACMTCTCAGTACAGATCCTTGGTTAAAAACTACAGATAGCTTCAAAGATAAGACGCTATCATTTGCTGCTGAGTCATGTTAGGCTTTAACTCCTGTCAGTCATCTGGTGAGCCCGAGGCCCTCTCCACTATCACACTGGAACCAGACTGTGACAACAACAAACCCTGAAGATAGGAATCTGGYAACCTGCGGATCAAACATTGAGATGAAGCAATTCATTTTTTTTTAGAAAAGAAAGTTTTTTTTATCCTTGGGTGTATATGAACAGGTGTGACAAATGTGTGGCCTCGCCGTACTTGTMTGTGTGATCTACCACCCAGTAGAGCACACACACACAAGCTGTTTAACGACTTACACGCTCTGTTGAGACACGCAGACGTTTCGCTTGTTTATTGATAGCTATCAGCGCTTTTTCYTTTTCTGCTAAACAAAACTCTCACAGCATCGCTCACTATTTACCTCGGCGCACCAGCTGAAAAACGTCAAACGCAGCTGTGGGGTTAGTCATACTCTGAAACACGCACAAAAAAAGCCTGATTTTGTTTTCATATCGCAGCACAATTTTAATGAAGAGCGATGACTGACCTCCCTTTTTTTCCAGAAAATGTGCAAACAGGTCATCCCTGTTCTTCCAACCGTACAGTCTTCAGCTGCTTATTGTTTCACTAATAGCGCAGCAGCTTTTACTCTTAAGGGGCCTTGGAGGCACCACGGAGCCGAGCCACAGGCTGCTCGCATTACAGKGTGGAGACCGGCGGGGGAATCGCACCATTTACAGTACAATGCATGTACGCTCTCTGTGGGAGTGGGAGGCAACGAGGGGTGGAGGMTTATTGAGAAATAACAGCCATTAGGCAGTTTGAAGTGACATCACTGCAGGCCAACCAACAGTTCTCAGGCACCAATTATTGGTATCCTGTAACAACAGTGGACAAAGATAAAAAATTGGGTAATTTTCTCCGTTAAATGATTCACTGAGCATCAGGCTGAGCCATGACACTGTTCATCTGCTGCCTATGCAGCCAAGAAACACGAGTAGAACATCCTGTAAAGGCAAAACATTTACATTACACCGGACCAAACCTGTACCGACGATAAACAAACGCATTTTTGGATTTCTGAGATCAGTTATCAAGCATTTTGCACTTTTATTCTTAAATATTTTACGTTTGTACACCAAATGTTCTCCTGTTTTACGTTGTTGTCCAGGAAAAGAAAATACAAGTAGAAAAAAATTTGCAAATATTTAAAATTTTTTGAACATTCATTGTTCAGTTCTGACATTTTTTTAATAGGAACTTCGGTACCACTTTACAACAAGGGAAAGTATTTATTAACACAAGTGGTACATCTTTTAATCAGAACCTGTGCAATGACAAAGTACTGACTGTCGTGAAGGTAAAATAAATATGAAAACTGAGCTTTAAAATCTAATTTTTAGCAAGAGAATATTCTTTCTATGCAACTTTACCTATTCCAAATCAGATTTTATAATTTCTAAATATGTTATGTTGCCTAAAAAAACGAACTGATGTTGAAAAATTAAAACTATAAAATACTGATAGAGGGGTCTGATATCATCAGGACTCAGTCGGCTCAACTACGGCACTTAATGATGGCAAGGGTCTTGGAAATTTTCAAATAAAATAAAAAAAATGTCAACTCTTAATCTAAAAAGGCTTCGTCTGTGTCATTTCTTCCACAGGAACTTCTCGTTCGTTTTCCACAGGCTCTTGCTCTCAGTTTGTTTGGGAAAACGTCTCGCTGCGAAGCTGGCGTTGACACAAACTCTCTGCAGTTCCTCGGGATCCGTTAACCTGTTGATGCTCTCTTCGTTACCCTCGTTMAGGATGTCCCAGATGTCTTTGCGGCCACTCTTTGTTTCCCGCGCTGGTGTAGCGACCTGTTGTGTAGTTTGCGAGCGTAAATCAGCCTCTAGCGTTAGGTTGGATGGCGGAGGTTTGACGAGACGTGCGCTTAGTGACGCTGATGATGCGGGGCGTGTCTCAGGGGTGTGTTTTTGTTGTGAACACTTGGTCTTTGGTTTTAGTAAGTCATCTAGAATGGATGTGTCTCCTATAAGGTCTATTAGGAGGGACTGACTGCAGGAGGTAGAAGGAGGCTGAGAATTCTCTCCTGTGCTCAGCGGTGATTTCAGCTCCTGCTCTGCTTCTTGTSCGGCGGGTTTGGACGACACGGCGGAGCTGCGACGGCTGAGGTCAGAAGGAGAAGGGGCATCTCTGTCTGTGCGGCTCAGAGAGGCAGCAGCCTCCCCGGACTCCAGACCACAGCTGCTGGCCTGATCGACGCTGAGACCACCACCAGCCCTGTGCGCTGGAGAACTACAAACACTGCTCTTCTTTGTCCTCTTGCAGACCATCTCCTCTTGCTCCTCTGACTCTGGAACATCCCGGAGGGGATCCTGCACATTCTTTTGTAACATCTTTTGCTTTTTGGGAGGTTCGAGATCATCGTTTTGTAAACTGCGAGATCCTATTCGTGGCAAAGGAACGTTACTTTGTGGAGCTTTCAGYTTCCTCTGAGCGCATTTCACAGATTTTGTGGTTCTTAGAGATTCTTTTTGTCGATTTTTGGTCTCTGGATGCTGATTTCTGGCAGCTCTTTTTGTGGGCGATGACGAGGCAGCAGCCGTAGAGGTTGTTTGTGCTGAAGCAGGTTCTGGGAAGTTTTCTGTGATTGTGTTCGACACGTCAGAGTGGTTGAGTGAGGTGTAATACTGACGTAGCAAGGTCAGCCTGCGAGGCGAGTCTCTTCTCAGGACCTCAGTGGCAAACTCGCGGACTGAGGGATATTTGAATTGTTCTGCCATTTCCTCAAGCTGTTGTCTGTAAACACACAAAAATAATACTTTTAAGAGAAAAAAAAACAAAAGCCCTAAATGCTGAATTTYCATGCAGTTTTCTTTAGAATTGAAGTCACGTTTTGTTTTTAACTTTTCGGTAACACTTTATAACTACACCTTTTTTAGCCTTAATTGATATATAACCTTTATTTTAACAGGTAAYTCAGTTGAGAACCAGTTCTCATTTACAATGACGACCTGGTCAAGAGGCAGCAGTACAATATAAAATGTCAGAACAATGTTAAAACAAAGACACGACACAGACAGCATAGAGTACAATTAGACATACTGTAACATTATAAACCAGGAAAACAAAGAATTAAATAAAAAAAGGGAAACTAAAATCATTAATCACTAATAAAGGACGATTCAGACTTAATAAGCTATTAATTAACACATTTATTAATGTTTTACCCATAAAGGCTAATTACTTCTAAAACCAACATACTCATTGTTTACTAATGCTTAATAACTCATGAGTTAACTATTCTAAATACTGTGTGTATACATGTAAACGCTCATGTAAACATACTTTCACACCATGTGTTAGACATGTATTATTGGTTAGAGAATGTTTGAATTGACAATATAACGCTGCTGTGCATCAGTAATTAAGGCAGGTGTTAGTGGTTAGTGAAGTCGTTTTGTGAARCTTTCTGAAGTGAAGACTATTTATGTCTATTTAAATATTTGTAAATCATAGTCACCAGTTACCAGTTAGTTACCAGTTTTCTGCCCTGTGATGTAGAAAGACTGTATTTCCACTTACAAGCGTTACGTCTATTCATCCATACTAGAGATGGGACGTTCGCGAACGATCCGGATCTTTTGAACGGCTCTTCACAACGAAAGATAGGAGCCAAATCGCGTGCAGTAATGAGCCATTTGTAGTTTTATTTCTTTTATTCCTTTATTTTTTCATACTTCAATCACTCCCGCTTTGCTTTTTCACAGAAAACAGGCGGAGTTGTGGAGTACAGAAGCTCACAGAAATGAGGGAGGGGGTTTCCGCTTGACAAACACATGGTTTCACCCACGTGACGGGATTACGTCATAACGCTACGTGATGACGTATTTCCCTATACGATGATGTAATACGTTCAAAATCAAACAGCTCTTTTGCACGGCTCTATGAAACAAACAGCTCCCCAAGATCCGGATCCCTTCAAAGTGCCATTACCATCTCTCATCCATTTATAAGGGGCTGTAGTGCAGATAGTTTTCACTCATGGTTCTGACTTTATCTTTAAATTATATTAAGATTAAACATAATAATACAAGTAACTACAGGATATGTTTAGATTAGATTTAGGCACACATGTAGATTTGCAAACTTTATAAAGACCCAAAATACTATCAATTTATGAAATTTCCCATGAYGCTTTGCTGCCTGAGCATACGTTTAACTTCCTGGTTAGAGTCTTCACTTTAGAAGGGTTCACAAAAAGACTTACTGATGCACAGCAGGGTTAGTAGTCAATTCAAACATTCTCTAACCAATAATACATGTCTAACACATGGTGTGAAAGTATGTTTACATGAACATTTACATATATACACACAGTATAGAATAGTTAACTCATGAGTTATTAAGCATGAGTAAACAATGAGTATGTTGGTTTTAGAAGTAATTAGCCTTTATGGGTAAAACATTAATAAATGAGTTTATTCATAGTTTATAAAGTCTGAATCATCCTTAATTAATGATGCTTTCAAGGTTAAGTAACCCTTTATTAATGATTAATTAAGGCTAAATAAAGTGTAGTTATTATAAAGTGTTACCAACTTTTCTTTTGGATTGATCATGACCTGGATGACTGAGAATCTTCACCAGCATTTGGGAGAAGATGTTTGGGTATATGAAGTGAATAAGTAAGTAAGTAAAGTTTTATTTATATAGTGCCTTTCCCAGAAATAAATTCACAAGGTGCTGTACATTCAGGGAAGTGGGGAGGGGGCAGTTAAGATCGGTCATGCAGCAAACACAGTTGTGCTACCTTTAACAACAGAAAAACTAAAAACCACACAAGGGAAGATGAGGAAAAAAGCAAAAACATCATATTATATCAACACTGTGACACACTATGGTGTTTATGTAAAAACCTCTGCATAGGGCAGATTTATTAGCCAGAGGAGTAAGTGAGTTTAGGGGGGCCCGAAGAATCCAGTCCCCTAAACCCGCGCATCCAAAGTTCAGAATATTGATGGTAACTGCTTATTCTGTGTGGCCCTCAGCTTGCTCCAGAAACCAGATCACAGACGTGTGTATGTGGGGGGCCCTCAGTCGACATAACCAACCAGGAAGAATTTAGTCAACAGCTCAACGCCATTATAGGAGTGAGCCAGATTCTGTAATCAGTTGTTTTGGGAACAGAAGAGTCAGGCAGACGATAACAATTTTCCATCTGCTTCAATGTCTGCTGGTGCATCTCAAGGTGGTGAATCCAATCAGACAAATAGTGTGGACAATTCTGCCCAGCCGTACTATCAGCTTCTTCAAGATCAGTTSCATCTGGCCAGCAAAGTCCAGGGACCACAGCTGGCCCGCGACCCTCAATAGAACCGCTTGCAGACCGAGTCCAGCTCGCTCAAGGCAAATGTCCAAGAGCTGATAGAATACGGCCATCCATCAAATAGGTCAGTCAGCCAGAAAGTGAAAAGCCACGGTCGCTGTTTTGTAGAACACCAGGAGACCACCAAGCCAATCTGCAGAATCCAGTGATCGAAATCCAGATATATATATCCAGAACAGAGAAGAACAGAGGTCCCACCTTTGACATGTCCTCCCATGGAAGAAGAAAAAACTTTCTTCCAAAAATTTTAAGACACCAGCAATACTGTATATACCAACTTAAAAAGTTAGAAAAGACACCAGTGCAGTTAAAAGTATTATTTATTTACTTTATTTTATTTGACCTCCTCCTGGGCACTCATTAAAAGGCTGTTCTAATCATGCACAGGGACAGAAACAATTTAAAGCGACTGTTACTACTGCAGCATTTCCTTCAGTGTTATTACCTTCAGTGGCTTTCACTGGAAAAACAATAAATAAAAGTAAAAGGCAGTAAAAGCTGACGTGCATGTGGGTTTAGATCATTAAACAGCGAGGTTAATTGAGGTGATATCACTGTAACCGGTGTATGTTTGCAGTCCCTGGTGAGGTGCTGGGCAGAGATACAGCCATCCACCGCCCACGGGAAGTGAGGCTGGAGCCATAAAGGTGTCTGTGTGTCTGCAGATGAGGGCAAGGGAGGGGTGGGAGCAGAGGTGACGCAGCAAAGGCGCTGCGTGTGAATGCTGTGCATCGGTAAGTGGGGGTTGAAATATTTTCGGTTGTGGGTTTAGAAGACCTAAGGCGGCCATTTTCGCTCCATCTCACGAGGGTGAAACTCCTCCACTGTTGGGCCTGATGATTACCGGGTAATCTTTGGCATGAGGCTAGGAAATAGGTAAAAGGGAAACCTCAGAGGTGGTCTCTTTCTACATGCACATACACACACATTATTATTAAAGCCTGGGAAGGGGCAGTCAACACTTTATCCGTGGTGGATTTTGGCTGTCTTCCATACACTGCCAGGAATCCCTCTTTTTCTTTTTTCCCTCCCARTCCCACCTCTAAGATTTTATGTTCACCTTCCTATTCTATTCTCATTTAAACATCTTTTGTTTCTTGTTGTTGATGCTCTTATCCGGGGTTTTTTTTCTTAGTTATGCCATCATGACCCCTTTTTCACCTCAAGTTTTTCCTCTCTTCTTATCTATACTTAGCACAAAAGTAATGAAAATTGTGGTAGATTATTTATTTGTTATAAAGCTTCTTGGCAATAAAATCTTATGATTGGCAGCACCTGGGAGGACCAGAAGCTCAAAACAAGTGTAAAAAGGAAAACAGCAAAATAAGCTGTTTGGCATGAAAGATTTGGCAAATTTTCCACGAGTGCAACCCACATACTCAGCTCTACAGCTCAACCCACAAATACATGTTCCTTACAAATGTGGCACCATTTAAAAGGGAAATTAACAAGATTTCCATCAGTATGAGTTACTGCCAAGAAGCATCGTTGCAACAAAAAAACGTTTCCTTACTTTTTGTGCTAAGTATATTATTTCCACGACACGTCCTTTTAAATTTTTGTTCATTTGTTCTTTTTTATTTCTATTTAAAACACAACTGCGATTGCTCGTCACTACCTGCGTATGGCTTTGGGCGTCTCTCCAATGATGACTGTTGTCCGTCCAGACTGATGCACACTTTTGCTGGTGAAGATGACCGGATGATCTACTTTGGGCTTCTGCAGCTGACCTGAGAGGGTGCAGGATTGGCTGTCTGGTAGACTTGCTGGTAGACTCTGACAGATTACAAAAAAAAAAAAGAAAAAGAAAAGAAAATTTATGTAGTTGGCAACTTTTTCAAAACGCAGCTTACGATCACGAGCCTAGCTTTAAACTTGCATGCTGTCTTCATGGACTCATTTTCAAATCTCAATCACGGCAAAACACTCAAAACAGAATATAAAGTTATATTTGCAGCACCAGGAGATATTAAATTCAACTTTTCTGCACTCCTACAGACTTCAAMTCCACAACAAAAGGCAATTTGTCCCCTTTAACTTATCAGTGACATATAAGACATGGTACTGGACGATGCTGGTAATAAAAGTATGTGTGAAAACAGCYTTTGTTTTTCATACCTCCTGAGTACCCAGTAGATGATTGGCTGGGAGCTGCGAGTACATTTTACGTTCAAACACGTCTCGTACAGCAGCTCTACTGATCAGCTCCTCGGCTTTGCTGCCACCCACCACGTGCTGGTTAGAGTGTGTGTACGCCACCTCTTGTACACCTCCTTWAAACACAAATATACACCATCAACAGTGGAGTTACACTCTTTACACATTTACCATATTTGAAGCATCGACTCTGACCTAGCARGCTGTCGATGGTTTGCTTTTTTCCTTTCGAAGCTGGAGATTTCGGACTTTTCAGATTTGTAAACGAAACAGCTTTTGGTATTTTGGCTGTTTGTTCATCCTCTGAAGARGTGAATGTTTCTATGTCTTCTGTGTGTTTGGCTCTTGCCCTATCCCTCACACTGGCCTTGTGTCTTCTTTTGTTGTGACCCAACTTTCCCCATCCTCCATCTCCTCCTCCTTTGTCCAAACCGAAACCCGTTTTAGAGCATGTCTTCACCTCCAGGTCTAAATCCTCTGATTCGTCTGAGTAAGCGTCGAAGTGGTGCGATTTGGGGAAAGTGGATTTGAGCTTATTAGATTTCTTGCTTTCTGGTGAGGCGCTCTCATTGCTCTCGTCATCCGCTGCAGTTTGTTTGCCCGTCCATCGCTTTTGGCCCTGTTTCCATCTCGTGGCATCATCCTTTTCTTTTAACAATAAAATCTTGCTTCCATTATTTTCCTGCTTTCTGTCTGAGCCAGTGGATTTGTCCCCGGTTTTTGTTTCAGAGTTGGGAAGGCAGACGACTCCATTTCCTGTACTGGAAGTCGTGCAGATTGCAGAAGAGGCGTCTGCTACATTCTGGTCTTCAATATCTTCTTCAAAGGAGCTATCTTTGGTACAAGAACCACTGCCCCCCTTGTCTGACTCTAGCTTTTCTTGAGCCCTTTCCAGAAGTCTGGAGAAGCCATGCTGAAGGAGACTCATTGCTCTGGGACTAGTGCTAGCTTTCCCACTCTTATCATCTCCATTCTGGTTTTTCTTTAGCCCCTGCACTTCTTCATCATCTGTGTCACTCCCACTGCTGAAGTCCAGCACACCTTTAGAGATCTCTGTCGCTTCTCTTGTCTTCTTGACTGCTTCATCACCTAAGACTTTACAATCTGTAAGCAGATCTCCAGGTTCCTAATATAAAAAAACACAGATGTTAGGTCAAAGACAAGTATAGGCAGAGTAATAAATAGGAAAAACGCATGGTGCAAGTAGTGCAAGAAGAATAACCTGAAGAGTTAACAACAAATAAACTGCATTTTCGCTGTATTATATGTTTAGCGCCGAAATGACTATAAATTCTTCATTTCCCTTCCTTGTGCCATCTTTCAGTGGACTTGCATATGAGAGATTTCATTGGGCAATGTGAAACAGATGTTTTCCAACAACAAATCATAATAAACACCAATGTGACACGAGCCCTCCGCTATGATGTAATAGACAGAAAACAAAYTAACAGGAAAAGTAGAAGATAGGRTTTAGTGTGGTCCGCTCCCTTTCATTAGGTCAAGCACAAATAATTATATCCAGCTGTTTTAAACAGGATCAGAAAAAATGTGAAACAAAGAGAACCTCGACGTTTAGCYTCTCGAGAACACAAAAAA